GCGTTTGCGAATGCGCTCCTCCAGCGTTGATCGGTTCCGTTTGACACGGACCCATTCCATTGTTGGCGGTTTGGAGGAACCGTCATTCGTTGATTGTCGAGACTGCTTGCCTCTTTTGTTCTTCAGATCCACGTTGTAGCGGATCCCGTCAACCGACTCCATGGCCTTTGCGAATAGTTTCGCAAGGCGTTGACGTTGCCTTTGGCGGGCTCTCTTCGAGAGAGTCACCACGCCCTCTGTGGCAGAAGAGTTGGCCAGAGTAGATCTGACCTGGTTGGAAACTAGAGGAATCTCACCCGATGCGACTTTGGCATCAAACGGGGCGAGATCTTCGTTGGTGGCTTCGACTTCTTCATACCAACGAACCTTTCTCCTGGAGGAGAACTTGGACTTCTTGGACTTGCGGGGGGAGGTTGATCCAGACGAGGACAAGTATTCCTCGAACTTAGTTTGGTCGAACTCATACTCGACCTCCTCCTCGACCTGGGATCGGAGATCTGCAGGCTGCGACGGCATCGATCTCGGCAGCGAGATTCGGTGGCTCCCACTGTGGCGTCGGCCAGATTGTTCTGCGGGGAAATTTGTTGCTTCTTCATTAATGATTCCATTGATACACTCTTGTAATAGTCTTCGATTACAAAGTATCGGGTTTTTTTATAGATCGGCTTACAACGGACAAATCAAATTGAAAGAAATTTTGAAAAATTACAACTTGTTATCCTTGATCTTGTCAACGAATCCGCGAGCTCCTGTTTTGCGGTCGCTCCTGCTTGCGGGCTGCTTGCCTGCGCGGGCGTTTGTTTGCCGTGCACGCATGCGATCTAGATCCCGGTTCGATATACGCCAGTACAACGGTATTATTTCACCAAGGAATAATAGCCGGGGGAGGATTGTTTCACCAAGGAAACCATATCGTCCAAGTCTCACGGGCATCTATAGACCAAGCTTACGACTCGGAGATGTAGCAACGTAGATTCTGAGATCGTCTCTTCAGAACACCTGCCTTATTGACGATGATGATCGCCTGGCACCAGATCTGGATGGAGCAAGTCCTTGACTCTCAAAGTTGAGATCTTTTTGTAGATCTGAGATTCATCCATGCAGGGCTCGCCTCCTCAACAATCCAAGCCTTTTAAATGAACAAACCCCTCTCCTAATTTATAGGCTACCCTCACTGTGCCTTGGGCACAGTGTGGCCGGCCACCTAGGTGGCTCGGCGGCCACCGAGCCACCAATAGGTGGCTCGGCCACCGAGCCACCACCTGGTGGCTCGGTGGTGGCCGAGCCACCTTGGTGGCCGCCGAGCCACCAAGGAGGTGGCTCGGCCTCCGAGCCACCATTTGGTGGCTCGGAGGTGGCCGAGCCACCCCAAGGTGGCTCGGCCACCGAGCCACCTAGGTGGCTCGGCCGAGCCACCACTTGGTGGCTCGGCCACCGAGCCACCTTGGTGGCTCGGTGAGCCGCCTCGATGACTTGGTTTCCGAGCCTCTTTTCGGGTGTGTTGTTCTGTCGTTTTCCGCTCTTGGTTCTATCTGTGATTCAGTTCTGTGGTTGATTTATCCAGACTTGATTCGTTGACCTGATTTGGCAGTAAATCCGGCTCCAGATTAGGCAGTAAATCTACTTCTGAGTTCGAGTCCGAAACCGATCTTGATTCGATCGAGATTCGTCCGAGTATGCCCTTGGTTGGATGACTCGTTGACTCTTCGAATACTTGGCTTGATCCCGCACGCGAATGGACGTATTCCGTTGCTTGCGTGCGATTAGTCAATCTCGTTGCCTCGTTGGTTTGTCGGTTTGTGCCGAGCTGAGCTAAGGGACCTATAAGCAATTTTATATGCCTACAGAACCGTTTAGCAATTGAATAGTATTGAAGTGCTAATCTAACTTCAGCAGCACTATCAAATTTTTGACCAATTTCACGTATGGAGGTGTGCCACTCAGTTGAGATCTTTGTTTGGTGATTAAGCATGTCTTCTAGCAGCACGATCAAGTCGCCGGTGGGGTTGTCATTAGGAATACGCTCATCATTACAGGTAATGTTACATTAAATGCTGGGTGCTCCTAGGAGTCGGACTTGGCGCCCAACGCTTAGACGCCTAGGCGGGCACCTAAGCGATTTTCTGGGTGGTTTTTTTTTCTTTTTTTAATTGTGATACTTGAAGATAAATATATATACTCAATCAATAATGCATAAATACAAAAATACCAACACATATGCTATCCAAACTATAATAGTCAATCAAAGATGTATACATAATAAATGGCAAGATATATAATATCCAATAACTAGAAGTTTAGGTCTCAAAATATCAGCAAAAAGATAGTCAAACAGGAATAGTCTAGATCTAATATAATGAATTAGCAATATGCATCTAATCTAATGTCATCATCAAACATCATCATCATGAAGTTCCTCCTATACTCCATCATCACTATCCTCTCTAGAATCCATCTCCACACGATCCTCCTCCTCGTCTGAAACATCATCATCCGAGACAAGAGGCTCTTCTTCATCATCCATCACTGAAGTAGAAGCACTTGAAGGTCCTGCTAGCCTAGAACTCCTCCTATTCTTCGTAGCCTCAGCCGCTCCCGATATACCCTCTACCATCCTCCAAGTAAGGCCTGAGCTAGGATAAACTTCTTCCTCATCATCGGAGCCTGCTCCTTCTAGGATCCATGCTCGTGCCTTACTATGATCAGTAGATAGTAGTTGGTTCTTGTTTTCTCCTCTCCTCTTCTTCTGGTTGAGCTTTGAGTTAAACTTCACATAGACCAGTTCCTCTAACCTCTTCGATTCCAATCTATTTCTCTTCTTCGTATGAATCTTCAAAAGTAAAGGACACAAATTAGAAAACATAACTAAGAATAATTTTATATTTTTCATAAGTTTAGAAATTAGTTTACCCCCTCAAATGTACTCCAATTCCTTTCACAACCAGAAGAGCTGCTTGTCAAGTTGAGAAGTTTCATAGCCATATTTTGCATGAAGGGACAATCACCACCATGCAAATACCACCAAGTAGCTACAAAAAATAATATATTATTAGTTGATTCACTACCACAAATCACCACCATGCAAATACCACCAAGTAGCTACAAAAAATAATATATTATTAGTTGATTCACTACCACGATGGCACAATAGATAACTTATAAGTCATAAATGATTCAATTTCTAAAATTATTTTATCTGGGTTCAAGTCTGATTTCTCTCTAGCCTTCACTGCTCCAATCCTAGCAAATGAACCCTTTCCTTCTCTGTTGTTTGCGGAAAAAGTTGCTGTATTCATTGCTGCATTCATTACAACTTCAATCGTTACAATGAAATAAAAAGATAGCCTTTTTATAAGACCGGTACACAATGAAAACAAAATAAATACAACTCTTTTCAAACAAACGCAAGATCTGTTCATCATCTCTTGCTTGCGTGGGTCTTTTGCCTGTGACGGGGATGTTGATATCCGTGGACCACCGGGGCACTCAGATCTGGTCCGATAAAATCGGGCAGAGTTTCGTCTATCCGCGGGGGGATTTTAGAAACTCTGAACCCCGTCGATCCGCGTGGGATCTCAGAGGTGTAAAGCTTATGTCTCGGCTAAAACGAGGCACTAGCTCTCCTTTGTATCACCGCTAAGGGCAACACTAAGGGAAAATAAAGAAAGGGGAATGAAGAAGGAGGCTCCTTTGCTGCAGAAGGCTCGCTCACTCCTCGATCCGGCAGGGCTTCGCCGCTCTCTTAGAAAACCCCGACTCCTTCCTCCGGCAGGGCTTCGCCGCTCCTCTCTGGAATTTCAGATCTCAAAGGCTAAAGCTCTAGATCTGAAATTTCTCTCCCAAAACCAAGGCCAAGAGAATGGAGGCCCTAGGGGCCTATTTATAGGAAAACAAAGGGGGGGTAGGGGCTGGTTGAGGACACCCCCTAGGGGGGTGTCTCGGCTCCAAAACCGAGACACCCCTTGGGGTGTCTCGGCCATGGCCGAGACACCCCGGCTCATGTGGATTGGATGGTGACGTTCATCGTCGCTCGTTAACACTGAACCGGTTGTGGAGAACTATAGGCAATTTTTGATGCCTACAGATACCCCCTCCAAAGTGTTCCTGACTCGTTTCTTTTATAGAAGAGGCTGGAATACTTTGGATGTGATTGATCTGGCCTTCAGTCGGCGTAGTTAGCTTCAACTCTTGACTCTTTCGATTTTCGATCTATCCGATGCTTTGACGAATAGCCGAGGTTCTTCCGGCGCTGCGTTTATCGTCTGGCCGTCGTCGGAGTCTCGAGTGTGCAGCTGATGAATTGAGTTTGGCTCGTGTCATTGAGTTGACTTTGAATTACCTCCGCCACATTGTGCTGGCTTAGGGTTTCGGATCCCCGTGTGTTGGCTTTTTGTCGCAACGCTTTGACCGGCGTTGACCTAGGGTTACGCGTTGACCGGCGTTGACCGGCGTTGACCCCTAGGGTTTCAAATCGTTGAACGTTGACTTTCGTTGCAACGCGTTGACTGGCGTTGACCTAGGGTTACGCGTTGACCGGCGTTGACCCTAGGGTTTACGGATCGCCATTAACACAGTTTATACTCGTACGTTTGCTGGAGTATACACAGTTTAAGCTCTTAAGGTATTGGAGCATAGCGGTTTTAAGTGTCGGGGCTGCAGGACCAACTGTTAAAGCTGATTCATCTGCATTAGTGGATTTTGTCCTGAATTTGTTGGGTGCTCAAGTCACGAGACCAACTAGGGGAGTTGATGCGTCAATGACTCGCAGTTATAGAATTTTTGGCAAATCCTCAGCCATCAACGGGTTTGACAAGCCTTTACCGACTACCGTTTGAGTCGGGCTAGCATGCGGATTGTTTAAGTCCGTTCCGCATGTGACGTTGTGCTAAGAGAGTTAACGCTCTTAGTGCTACGATATTGAATACGTAGACTTCGTCTTTCTTACGGGAATAGACTACCCGGCGACGCGTGTTAGGCGTTGACTTTAGGATTTTTGGCTAATCCCCAGCCTTCAACGGATTTGATTAGCCTTTACCGACTACCGTTTGAGTCGGGCTAGCATGCGGATTGTTTAAGTCCGCTCCTATGTGACGTTCAGCCAAAAGAGTTAACCCCTTTAGTGCTACGATATTGAATACGTAGACTTCGTCTTTCTCACGGGAATAGACTACCCGGCAACGCGTGTTAGGCGTTGACTTTAGGATTTTTGGCTAATCCCCAGCCTTCAACGGATTTGATTAGCCTTTACCGACTACCGTTTGAGTCGGGCTAGTATGCGGATTGTTTAAGTCCGCTCCCATGTAACGTTTTAAGCTAAAAGAGTTAACCCTTTTAGTGCTACGATATTGAATACGTAGACTTCGTCTTTCTCACGGGAATAGACTACCCGGCAACGCGTGTTAGGCGTTGACTTTAGGATTTTTGGCTAATCCCCAGCCTTCAACGGATTTGATTAGCCTTTACCGACTACCGTTTGAGTCGGGCTAGCATGCGGATTGTCTAAATCCGTTCCGCATGTGACGTTGTGCTAAGAGAGTTAACGCTCTTAGTGCTACGATATTGAATACGTAGACTTCGTCTTTCTCACGGGAATAGACTACCCGGCAACGCGTGTTAGGCGTTGACTTATCCCTACTCAGGCTTCGGGATAAAATTCCCCGTGCATCGAGTGCCCGGATTTGACAATCGTGTCTTTTCTAAAAGCAAAGACAGATTGAGAAACGGGAGAGGAAGAATTTTATATTCTATCTCCCGGTGCTGAAGAGGAAGAATTTTATATTCTATCTTCGGCCGGAAAGGGAACTTGAGGTGGGATCCCCCACCCCCAGAATCCGGAATGATGAACTGGGAGTGGGTTCTCCACTCCGAGCATCGGAAAGGTCCGAGGAGAGGAAGAATTTTATATTCTATCTCCCGGTGCTGAAGAGGAAGAATTTTATATTCTTTCTACAGCTGGAAAGGAAACTCAAGGTGGGATTTCCACCCCCAGAATCCGGAAGGATGAAACTAAGAGTGGGATCTCCACTCCGAGAATCGTAACAATTCGGATAACCCTAACTGTCGGAAGAAGGTTTGATTACTCGATTTGAAAGTGGACCTCTCGTTCATTGGAGGAATCGAGAAGAGATTTTGGCTTTGGCCCTAACTTTTATAGGTTTGACCCAGCAGGAGTTTGAGATGACCCTAACTGTCGGAAGGTTTGATCACTCGATTTGAAAGTGGACCTCTCGTTCATTGGAGGAATCGAGAGGGGATTTTAGTTTTGGTCCTAACTGTAGGAAGGTTTGGAGTATTGAGGAACAGTTTATACTCTTGTACTCTTTGGAGTATTGAGGAACAGTTTATACTCTTGTACTCTTTGGAGTATTGAGGAACAGTTTATACTCTTGTACTCTTTGGAGTATTGAGGAACAGTTTATACTCTTGTACTCTTTGGAGTATTGAGGAACAGTTTATACTCTTGTACTCTTTGGAGTATTGAGGAACAGTTTATACTCTTGTACTCTTTGGAGTATTGAGGAACAGTTTATACTCTTGTACTCTTTGGAGTATTGAGGAACAGTTTATACTCTTGTACTCTTTGGAGTATTGAGGAACAGTTTATACTCTTGTACTCTTTGGAGTATTGAGGAACAGTTTATACTCTTGTACTCTTTGGAGTATTGAGGAACAGTTTATACTCTTGTACTCTTTGGAGTATTGAGGAACAGTTTATACTCTTGTACTCTTTGGAGTATTGAGGAACAGTTTATACTCTTGTACTCTTTGGAGTATTGAGGAACAGTTTATACTCTTGTACTCTTTGGAGTATTGAGGAACAGTTTATACTCTTGTACTCTTTGGAGTATTGAGGAACAGTTTATACTCTTGTACTCTTTGGAGTATTGAGGAACAGTTTATACTCTTGTACTCTTTGGAGTATTGAGGAACAGTTTATACTCTTGTACTCTTTGGAGTATTGAGGAACAGTTTATACTCTTGTACTCTTTGGAGTATTGAGGAACAGTTTATACTCTTGTACTCTTTGGAGTATTGAGGAACAGTTTATACTCTTGTACTCTTTGGAGTATTGAGGAACAGTTTATACTCTTGTACTCTTTGGAGTATTGCCGTTTTCAATCGGCTTACCCTAGCGTTATAACGCCGGCTTCAACCAAGGTCTGGATGCTATTCTTGAGAGCAAAGCATTCCTTGGTGGGGTGGAGGATCCTTCTGTGGTACTCGCAGTACGTTGGATCCGCAGAATCGCCATCTTCCTCTTGATGCGTGATGGGCGGGAGTTTGATTTTGTTGTTTTCGAGAAGGGTCTCGAAAATAGCTGGAACGTCTTCGTCTTTGAACGAGTACTCGTTTTGGAGCTCCTCGTCTGAATTCTCCTGTTGTTCCCAGGACTGCTGTTGTGACGTTTGATCATCGTCAATAACTGCTGCAGGTACGTCCTCTTCATCATGAGGTACGAGATCCGAATCCGGAGGATTAACCATCGGTTGGTTTCTCTCGATCTTCCGCCTTCTGATGAAGCGTTCAGCTTGTTCTCCTCGAGCCTTCAACTCTTTCCAGGTATTGAGCGGCTCTATTCCCATCACGTCCAAGATGTTAATGGACAAGTTGTTCTGACAAGTCTGCAAGAGGAATTCCTCCGTGACGGGATCCCTGCAGTTCATTGCCTGATTGCGGAAGCGTTTGATGAAGGTATCCACCGACTCTCCGCCTTTTTGTTTCTCGTCGAAGAGTGTCCTGATCGACACCTCGGTGTCATCATCGAAGAAATGGGCGAGAAACATGCCTTCCAAGTCCTCCCAGCTGTTGATGCTTCCGGGCTTGAGACGGCGGTACCAATCGAAGGCAGGCCCGCGAAGGGTGCCAACGAATGACCGAACCATCAAAGGCTCGTTGCCCGAGATTACTCCCAAGTGGGACTTGAAGTAGATCAGATGTTGAGTGGGCGAGCCCTTTCCGTTGAACGGCGTGAAGTTGATCAGGTTGAACTTCGCCGGATACGGGATCGAATCCCACTTTCTCGGGTAAGGACACGGAATGCCGGTCCTCTTCACCTCCCGAACAAACATTAGGGCTTCGATTTTTCTTTCGAGCTCCTTTATCTTTTCGGCCTCACCCATATCCTGTTTTGGATAAGTTTCGAGAGGAATCATACGGCCACCCCCAGTGTTGTCATTACTGGTGGGTCCACCCCCAGCGCTATCATCACTGGTGGGTCCACCCCCAGCGCTGTTAATTTTAGTGGGGCCACCCCCAGTATTCTTGGGTGGTGCGTCGGCCATGATGATTTCGTCCACCTTTGGATTGCTACCAACTGCGGCGTTCTGGGTGCGACGGTTGGATTCAGCTAGCTGACTTGACAAAGCGCGGATTTGTTGGTCGTGCATTTGCTTCATCTCCTGCATAGCCATTCCCATTTCGATCTTGAAGATTTCCTTCTGCCTAGCCAGGGCCTCTTCAATGATTTTGGCTATCTGATCTGTATTGACCATGAGCACCTCTCGAGCTTGTCCTATGCTAGACGTTGTCTCGTCAGAAGCGAGAGCGGAATAGGAATCCGAGAGTTCAGAGAACTCATCATCGGAATGGACTCCTTCATGGATCCCACGCTCGTCGTTATCTCCGACGGTTTCTAGTTGAAGCTGGGATATTCCCGAATTGACCCTGCTTCCTAGAGAGAAATTAGGGTCGGAACCACCTGAAATGATTGGGGACTTTCCCTTGTTGACCATGTTGATGGTAACTTCTAGGGGTTCATCTTGGTGGGAACGCCTTGATTTGGGCTTTGTCGGTCCATCGGAGATTCCCTCGAATATCGAGACCCTCTGTGGAGCGGTCTTGGGGCAGCTACAGGCTGATAATACTGCCCTGATAAGTTTGGTACACGGACAGTGAGAATCCGCTTCCCGGGTGTTTCTCTTTCGAGATTCATCCGCACCCCCAGCCTGATAGTACAACTCACTGACTTTGTAGTCGGAGTAACCTATCGGCTGCTCACAGGGATTCTCAGGTATAACGCGTTCGTCTGCCCGACGCGTCTTCTTCTGAGTAAACATTGCCTTGTTGGTCTCTGCAAGAGTCGCACGTTTGGAATCACTCCTTTGTGAGGGTGAAACCTTAACGGGCTCTTGGTCTTTTGCACGCACCGCCGAGCTGGTTGTTGCAAAGATCGATTTGTTAGGAGATCGTGTACGACCCCCAGTCTGGATGTTGTCTCGAGGCTCCTTCAACGATCCCCAGCTTTCCTTGACAAGCGCTTTTCCTCGATTCTCGGGTAGAGCATCGATACGGTTGTTCAGAGGATTCCTAGACTTGGGGAAATCCACGCTGCGGTGGGGCTTTACCGAAGATTCGGGACCTGAAATGGACGAAGGTTGGAGAGCAATATTACCTGCTTTTACCTTAGGCGTTGATTCGGCCTTTGGCATCCAAACTCGTTCGGATTTCGGCGATCTCTTAACTGCCTCTCCCTTTAGCATTTCTCGTGCTTTTTGGACCAGGGCTCGGGCATGCGCACGCAAGGCGCGGCGCTTCTGGATTCGCTCCTCGAGAGTAGAACGGGTTCTTTTGACTTGAACCCATTTGTTCGTTTCTGCTTCGGAGGAGGGGCTGGTTGTTTGCCGTGGTTGCTTCAGAGGATTCTTGAACTTGGGGAAATCCACGCTGCGGTGGGGCTTTACCGAAGGTTCGGGACCTGAAATTGACGAAGGTTGGAGAGCAATATTACCTGCTTTTACCTTAGGCGTTGATTTGGCCTTCGGCATCCAAACTCGTTCGGATCTCGGCGATCTCTTAACGGCCTCTCCCTTTAGCATTTCTCGTGCTTTTTGGACCAGGGCTCGGGCATGCGCACGCAAGGCGCGGCGCTTCTGGATTCGCTCCTCGAGAGTAGAACGGGTTCTTTTGACATGAACCCATTTGTTTGTTTCTGCTTCGGAGGAGGGGCTGGTTGTTTGCCGTGGTTGCTCCTGGCGTTGCCTGGATTTTAGATCCACGTTATAGCGGATCCCATCCATTGGCTCCAAAGCCTCGGCCAGCTGACGAGCAAGACGTTGACGCCGTCTTTGTCGTGCTCTCTTTGATAATGCTGGAGCATCTTCAGAAGTCATCTCCTCGGCGGAAGAGGAGTCCGGATCTGCGATCTCGACCACGTTGGACGACGCGGGGACGTCACGTGGTGCAAGCGCAGAGGCGGCAACAGGGTCTTGGATTTTCGAACCGAAGGACCTGTAAACATTTATGAAAGAGGTTACGTTTCTGTACCCGTTTGGAGAGGCGGATCTGGAGGAGGAGGAAGAGAGGCCTTCTTCGAACTGTTGTTGATCGAGCTCGTGTTCTTCATTCACCCCGATCTTGAGTGCTGGTTGTGTCACGACGGCGTCGGTTGCGATGCCGTTGGCTCCCACTGTGGTCGCCAGCTTGTTTGCGGAAAAAGTCGCTGTATTCATTGCTGCATTCATTACAACTTCAATCGTTACAATGAAATAAAAAGATAGCCTTTTTATAAGACCGGTACACAATGAAAACAAAATAGATACAACTCTTTTCAAACAAACGCAAGATCTGTTTGTCATCTCTTGCTTGCGTGGGTCTTTTGCCTGTGACGGGGATGTTGATATCCGTGGACCACCGGGGCACTCAGATCTGGTCCGGATAAATCGGACAGAGTTTCGTTGATCCGCGTGAGATCTAGAAACTTTCTGATCCGGATAAATCGGACAGAGCTTCGTCTATCCGCGGAGGGATATAGAAGCAGAGCTTCGTCGATCCGCGTGAGATCTAGAAGCTATAAGCGTATACCTCGGCTAAAGCGAGGTAATAGCTCTTCTTAGTATCAACGCTAAGGCCGATACTAAGGATCTGACGGGCGATGAAGGCTCTGATCAAGGCCTCTCCTCCTCTTGTTGAAGCACACGGGCACTCTTCACTGCAGCAGGGCTTCGCCAAGCTCTCCAAAAATCCTCCCCCTCTCTCTCTAGCCTTGCTCCAAGACAAAAGAATTCCAGCCCTTTGAATGAGGACCCAAGGGGTCTATTTATAGTGTTTAGGAGTGAGTGGGGGTAGGTAGGGGGTGTGGACACCCCTTGGTGTCTCGGCCAGGCCGAGACACCCTGTGATTGGATTATCTGTAAAGTGGTCGAGGCATGAAGGGCGTTGTCCTTTTTGTGAACAGTGCCGGGCTTCCCGATTGGTCCGGGTCTTCGTGATTCCGAAGTCCTATCCGCTCATGTAACTCGTCGATTCACTTCAATCGTTCGTCGACGTCGATTAGGCTCATGTGGATCGGATGGTGATGTTCATTGTCACTCGTTAACACTGAACCGGTTGTGGAGACCTATAGGCAATTTTCGATGCCTACATCTGTATCTCTCCAACTCTTGAGTATGAATTTTAACTTGTTGCTCTATATCAGGATAGAACAACTCCACCACATCTAGAAATCCATCTTTCGCCCTTTTGCAGTTCTTCACTACATCATCCCTATAGAAATAGTAAGGGTTGAGGTCGTAAGAAGCCATATGCAAGGGAGAAAAGAGCCGATCCTTGGACTTCCCATCTATAATATCAATCACGGGCTTGAAATCCTTCTCCTTATTCTTGAAAACTTGAATGATCTCCTTCTTCATATCTTTAAGCATCCCCACCACAAATCCCATTGAGGGTTTGTAGTCACTATCGACTACCCTCAACAATCAAAAAATAGGAGCATACACCTTCAAGATCTTGGTCACCGCCGTCCACCAAATATCACTCATAGCAATCGCCTTCACCTTAACGCCTTTAGCGATCTTTGCAAGCTTGCATCTCACCCATGCTTCATCGGAAAACATAAATATCAACTTTCCCTTTCTTCTTAAGAAGACTCTGCAGAGTCAAAAATGTAGTGGTGAAACGAGTAACTCCAGGTCTCACAATGTCCCTTTTGTCACAAATGCGACGCATCATAGACAAAGTCTTGTGATGACCATAGATAAAGATGGTGAGGGTCCTCACCTTCTCAATTGCTCCTTTGAATAAACTCAACTTCCCGATGCTTTCAAGCATCAGGTCAACAGTGTGTGCTGCACAACTAGTCCAAAAAATCCTCGGTCTCACCCTATATAAAAGCTCCTTCGCGGCCATATTTGTAGCTGCATTATCCGTGATAACCTGAATGACTTTATCAGCTCCAATCTACTCAATAGCCGTATTAACCCACTCAAATATATATTGTCATGTATGTGCTTCCTCTTTGGTTTCAATCAACTTATGAAAAGTTGTCCCCAATCTGTAGTGGATGCAAAGATTCATTACCGACCACATCTTTCTGTCCAACCAAGCATCAGTCATAATGGAACATCCAATCTTACCCCACTCCTCCTCATGTGTCTTTAAGGAGACTTTTGTTCTCTCAATAGCTCTTCGTAATAAGGGCTCCCTCAACATGTACATGCTGGGAGGCCTGTAGCTCGGTCCATAGTCTCCAATAGTGAAGCATGCCTTCATAAAAGAATCTGTGGAGATGGCATGAAAGGGGATGGCATTTTCATATGCCCAAGTAGCCAACTGATCATGCACCCTATCTCTCTTCTCCTTTAGGAAAGAATCATTCACTCATGTCTGCTTCATTTTCCCTTTCAACCTTTTCGCTAGCTCTGGATCACTAGCGGTGTAAGCGTCCATCGGCCCAACAGTAGGCTCTCTAGACCTCTTTGAAGATTCATCGCATGTGGAAGGAGAGATGATTTTATCTTTATCTTTTTCTTCATCACACGGCCTCGTCGTATGAAGTTCTTCTTCTAAGTCTATAGTGTGCCTCTCCTTAGCTTGCTTCTTCTTCGAATTAGCATCAATGACTTCTTTCACCCTCTGCTTATTTTTTTTACTAATCTTCAAACACGGTTTGGTGCTCCCCTCAACCCTATAAGATGCTTCTTAAATCGATGGATCCACGCATTCATCTTGTGTCCACATAGTCGGCATTGCATAATATTCAAATTTTTTGGGTCCGGACAAAATCCAAACTCCCAACCAATGTCTCCTGAGTTCCTTCTATCTTTCACGGGGGGTACAGGGATAGTGGTGGAACCCGTAGACTCCTTCGCTGGAGCACCCGACATTCTGAAATAAATGAACAAACAAATCATTCATATACTTAAAATTAAACTTAAACAATCAAAAAGTTAAACTTAAACAATTAAACTTAATTAATAAATACATTTAAACAGATTCAATTTGTAATTCTTAAAACAGAATCTCAAAACAAGAAATATATAAACTCTCACATGTGTTCAATTTGTAATTCTTAAAACAGAATCTCAAAACAAGAAATATATAAACTCTCACATGTGTAATTTCCCTTACTGTTAACTTATTTTTGAAATATATAAACTCTCACATGTGTAATTTCCCTTACTGTTAACTTATTTTTGTAGGTCAAAAACTGCAATTTCATTCGTTATTGCTATAACTTCAAAAACTACAACTAATTATTGTTCTATTTTGTAGGTTAAAAACTACAACTTCATTCGTTATTGTTGCAAATCCAAATGTAGGGAGCATGAATATTATAGGTTCAGCACTCAACTCAATACAGATACACAATTATTGCATGTACAGTTGTAAGCTTTGAACAAATGCAGAGAATGAACATGACAAAGATAAATGTAGGCAACATAAGTCTGTTGTGGACCGTGGTGATGCATATTCTGTTGTACACTCGGATACTTTTTCATATGAAATAGGAAAATCAAACTTAAATAATTAAACTAATAAGCTTAAAGTCTTAAACAATTAAACTAAATATAATATAAATATATTAAGTTAACATAAGGCTAGGAGCAGTTAATTTCCTTAAGCTTGAGATAATAAGTTAACATATACATAGCATTGTCCGCAGAAGGAAGAACAACAACGAACTTCAATATAAGATTTAACACAAAAGAGTAATGTTGTTATTATCGACAATTTACCCAGAACATATAAACGACAATTTACCCAGAACATAGCTTGAGATAATATTAGTACGTGCTTCATATCTCCCTCAAAAACATCATTTCATTATTAATAGAAGAGAAACAAATAAACGAAATTCTAATGACTGATGGAAAAAATATCCAGATAAACACAGTAAGCTCCAAAAAATGAATCCCCTACTTTATTCCTCCATCAAGAAAACCTTGAACCATTATTTAAAGTTAATAAAAAAAGAGTTAAAAAATCAAGGGAAATAATTTGGAGGGTTTTGAAAGCTTAAGAGCACAGCCGAACCCAAACAAACAGGTTGAAAACGAGCTCGAAGATGAGAACGACGAGCTCGAAGATGAGCTCGGAAGACGTCGGAGATGAGAATGACGAGCTCGAAGAGGAGCTCGGAAGTCCAGGACCAGGTTGAAAATGAGCTCAAAAGTTAAGCTCGAAGACGATCTCCAAGATAGTTGAAGACGAGCTCGGTCGGAAGTCCAGGACGAGGTTGAAGACGAGCTTGGGTTTTGGCGGAGATCGAAGATGTTTTTTTTGCTGGCGGCGACGGGTGAACTAGATTTAGGGTTAGTTTTACTTTTGAGTTTGGGTTTTGGGTTTTGCGTTTTTTTTTGGGTTTGGATTTTTAGGATCGCCAGGCTCTTTTTTTGGGCTTGAAATTGTGGGGCGGGCCTCTTACGCAGCCCGCTTAGCCCTGGACGACCGCCTAGGCGCTCCCAGCGCCTAAACGTGGCCGCTTAGGGCAGTTTTGCACGCTCTGGGCACCGCCTCTGCCAAGGCGGGCGCCTAGGCAGCCTCCCAGAGCGTGTTTTACAACACTGATTACAGGTTTGGGTGAACGTGGTATCTGCGCACCGCGAATTTTCTGTCGGTATTATCCTGAAGTAGTAATAAAAATTCATAGCCTCAGCAACGAACTGATAACCTTAACAACAAGCTCATAAACGTAACAGCCAACACATATCCTTAACAACTAACCCTTATACTTAAGGACAGACTCGTGACCTTAACAACAAACGCATATACTTAACATCAAACACCTTATCATAGCAACCGACTAGTATATGTAACAACAAACAAATAACCTTAACAACTAGTCCTTAACCTAACATTGACAACCAACTCATTACCTAAGCAACCAATGCATAAGGTTAACAACTAATGACAAAACCTATCAGTGTAATTCCTACGCATTTTCTGGCGTAGTCTGCGTGTTCTGCGAAGTTGAGGATTCCCCAGTAGAGGTAGCATACAAATTCGCGTATGTAAATCCATTACGTCGACAATACTCGAACATCAAATTTAAGTCATCGTCACTGTCAATTGAAATACTGAATTTCTTTTCCCTTTCGCATGTGAACTTCAGTGAAAGAGATTGCATTGGTATTTTAAGCCTTTCCGACACTTGATATTTCAAGCTGATTATTTCTGTATTCTCTTTGATAACGTCGAATACACCGTCACCATCTTTGTTGCTTTTTGCCTTCGTTTCCATGCATAGAAGAGATACATCCGTTATTTTATTACAGGGAGTAGTTGAAGAATCGAAGAGGCTTTTATTAAGGAGAATTAAGTGGAAGGAACAGATTAGTTGGGGTAATAGAATGGGGAGGAGCTCAGCGATTTTATTACGGTGGGAAGAGGAATATATCTGGTGATAATTTTGGAGGAAAATGTGAACCCCCCCCTCCAAAAAAAAAAAAAAAAAACCC